TGTGGGGCCGTGGGGGGCCCCTGGCTGGGACGGGCTGGTGGCGGGGTTTGCTGGTCTGGGCGGTTCCAGGGGTCGTAGGGGCCGCGGGCCAATGAGGGTCCCCATGGGGGACTGCGGGACGCACCGGGGGTGCCGCAAAGGTTCTAGAGTTTTGGGGGCCTGGGCGGTACCCGGGGAAGTTTGGGGGTGCTGGTGGTGACCCAGGAACCAGGGGTGCTGCAATGGGCCTGGGGGGAAGCACCTGGCCTAAGTGGGGGTGCCAGGGATTTCGGGGGCTGGGACCACTGCCTGGGGTCCTGCCGGGTGCTGGGGTAGAGTTTAGGGGCCGGGGCGTGCCGAGAATTGTAGCGGGGTGCTGCGCGTGGCAGGGGTATCTGGGGTTGGCACCAGCCTGCAAATGGGGTGCCAGGGGCTTGAGGGTGGTACTAGGGGTCTTCGGGGGTGGTGCGGGTGCCAGGGAGCTCTTAGGGCAGGTTGCAGGGGGTAGGGTGTGGCAAGATTTGGGGTGCTGCTGGTAGTACCAGGGAATGCATGTGGTTCTGGGGGCAGGGAGGGTTCTGAGGGGCCGAGGTGGCGCTAGACCTCGAGCAGGGTGCTGCCAGGGGCACAGGAGCAGCGTAGGGACTGTGGGGTGTGCATCAGGGCAGGTGGCCGGGAGTGGGGCCTGGGGGGCGTCCCAGGGAGCTGGCGTGGTGTGAGGGACCCTGGGGTGCTGGGAGCAGTGTGGGAGCTCAGCTGCGTATGGGGCTGGGGTGGGCACTGGGCCACACGGGGGTGCCAGGGCTTGGGGGCCGGGGGTGGCAGGGCGCCTCCAGGGAGGTCTAGGGTGGGCTTGGAGACTGCGTCCAGTGCTGGTGCTGGAGGAGATACCAGGGGCCACGCTGGGGTACGGGGCCGAGGGTAGTTGCAGGGTGCACGGCATCTGGGGTGGCACCTGGTCCGTAGGTGCCCGAGGGGGACGCCTTGGCCGGTAGCTGGGCGTGGCTTGGCCCTGGGGCTTATGTGGCCATGCTGTGGGCACGGGGCAGCCCCCGGGAGATGGGGGCTGTGTGCATGTGGGGCTGGGGTGTCTGGGAGGCAGGGGCCCTGCGGCTGGGACAGGAGGGAGTGGACGTCTTAGACTGGGGTGCTGGGCGCATAGGGTGGGGAAGAGGCAGGCAGGCCGGGAGTGGGCGGTGCCGGGCATCCTGGGGTGCTGGCGGGTAGCTCTGGCTCAGGGTCTGCAGGCTGCCCTGTCCCTGGAGGAGGCGTCCCGGGCCCATCCTGGCTGTAGTGGCAGAGGATCCCTGCCCGATGTGATTGTGCTTGTGGGCCCCCTGGGGAGCCGAGCTGAGCCTTCTGGCCTGGCAGGGAGCTTGTGAGCAGAGAGGGTTTGGAGGCGCTGGAGTCTGGGGAGGCCTCACCCCACGGCCTCCTGCGGGAGGACGCGCCTGCCCAGGCTGTGCCCGCAGGGAGGGCTGTGGCTTCCGGGTCGGCTGCAGCCGGGACTTCCTTCCCATTTCCCCAGGGGCTCCCAGTGGGGCTCCTGTACTTCCTGCTCACTCACTGGGCCCTGTCGGCTGCCCCTTCCTCCTGCCCCGGGCCGGGGAGCGGGCGGGGTCCCTGTCCCCGTCCCCATCCCCGTCCTCCCTGACCCGCGTTGTCCCCTCTTGCAGGCCCAAGGTCCCGGCTATGGCCGCAGCCACCATCGTGCACGACACGTCTGAGGCGGTGGAGCTGTGCCCCGCGTACGGCCTGTACCTGAAGCCCATCACCAAGATGACCATCAGCGTGGCCCTCCCACAGCTCAAGCAGCCCGGGAAGTCCATCTCCAACTGGGAGGTGATGGAGCGGCTCAAGGGCATGGTGCACAGCCACCAGTTCTCCACGCTGCGCATCTCCAAGAGCACCATGGACTTCATCCGCTTCGAGGGCGAGGTGGAGAACAAGAGCCTGGTCAAGTCCTTCCTGGCCTGCCTGGACGGCAAGACCATCAAGCTCAGCGGCTTCTCCGACATCCTCAAGGTGCGTGCCGCCGAGTTCAAGATCGACTTCCCCACGCGCCACGACTGGGACTCCTTCTTCCGCGACGCCAAGGACATGAACGAGACGCTGCCGGGCGAGCGGCCCGACACCATCCACCTGGAGGGGCTGCCCTGCAAGTGGTTCGCGCAGAAGGAGTCGGGCTCGGAGAAGCCCAGCGAGGAGGTGCTGCTGCGCGTGTTCCAGAGGTTCGGGGAGATCCGCAACGTGGACATCCCCATGCTGGACCCCTACCGCGAGGAGATGACGGGCCGCAACTTCCACACCTTCAGCTTCGGCGGCCACCTCAACTTCGAGGCCTACGTGCAGTACTGCGAATACGCGGGCTTCATCCAGGCCATGAGCGCCCTGCGCGGCATGAAGCTCATGCACAAGGGCGAGGACGGGAAGGCGGTGGCCTGTAACATCAAGGTGACCGCGTGCGCTGCGGGGCCTGGCCACGGCGTCCCTCCCATCCCGTCCCGTGCCCATCCATCCCCTGGCCCTGGGAGCGGGAGCTGGGCGCTGCGCGTGGTGGCGCACACCTGCCCTTACAGTGCTTCGGGAGGCTGAGGCGGGAGGGTTGCGAGTTCATGCCTAATGTGGGCAGTTTAGAGACTCACACCCTGTCTCAAAGTCCTGGTGTGTAGACCGGCAGGGGCACGTTAAAGGGGCTTTGACCCAGATTGGAACTGCAGGAGGTGGCACCTCCTGGAGCGGCCTTCCTCAGGGACCTTCTTGTTCGCTCCTTGTTCCGTGCTGTGATGCGTTTCTCTGCAGTGCCAGCTTGGCCTCGGGGAGGGTTTGTTGCGGGGAGCGCGTGCTTGGGGTTCCGGTCGGCCCGGCTGAGTGTGGAAGGGAGCTGTGCTGGGACGGCGATGGCGCGGTCCTCCGCGCTGGGTCACGCAGGTCACGTTAAGGCGGGGTGCCCTGTGGGGATGGTGAACTTTGGGTCACGGCCTGGGCCCTCCGGTGCTTCTGGGCGCTGGCCGAGGATCGGGGGTGCTGGTGGCCCGGGCCCACTTCCTGGGTGGATCCGCGAGAGGCCGCGGCTCCTGGGGCCGCGACCTTGGAGTGTCTGTCCCACCGGGCGGCCGTGTGTACCGCAGAACCCACCGCCCGCTGTTTGCTCTCCAGGTCTCCTTCGATTCCACCAAACACCTGAGCGACGCGTCCATCAAGAAGCGGCAGCTGGAGCGGCAGAAGCTGCAGGAGCTGGAGCAGCAGCGCGAGGCGCAGAAGCGCAGGGAGAAGGAGGCGGAGGAGCGGCAGCGCGCCGAGGAGAGGTGTGTGCACGGGCGACGCCGCCGTGCACGTCCCAGCCCGTCCCTGCGCTCACGCCTGCGCACGTCTGTGTGTGTGCGTGCTGTGGACTGCTCTGTGTGTGCTCGTGGTTCTGTGTGCGTGCACGCCTGTGCGCACACTGGTTGTGTACGTCTGGGCACGCCTGTGAACCTGAGTGTGTGTGTGCGCGTGCAGCAGGCCGTGCTGGCTCTGCTGACCCTGCTCTTGCAGCGCACAGCTGCCCTTTCTGCAGCGCAGGGATTGGAGTCTGGGACGTCACACTGCTCCGTCCCGAGCCCCGTTTCACCGCTGTGAGATAGGGTCTTACCGAGTCCCTAGGCTGCCCAGGTTGGGCTGGAGGTTGAGATCCTCCCGCCTCAGCCTCCCGGAGTGCTGGAATGATGAGGGTGTGTGACTATGCCCGGCCGGCGTGGAGGGGCAGTGCTGGTCCTAGTTGTCATGCTGTTGCCTGTGCCCAGGACTCTCCCCTGTGCCCTGTGGCTGCTGTCACTGGAGCTCCCTGAGCCCGCTTGGTGTGTGCAGATCTGGGCTGGGCCCAGCGGGTGGTACTCTGTCCCGAGCATGGCGACCGTGTAGGTCCCCAGGAGTGGCTGCGGGGCTCGCGGGAGGGCGTAAGGCGCAGAGCAGGGCCGGGGCTGTGGCAGGTGGGGTGCACGTTGTCCTTGTGCCCTGCACCCGCTCCTGTGCCCGCTCGGGCTTCTTTGATGCCAGTGAGATTCGTTGAGTAAAAAAAGTCAGAGATGAGAGAGCCAGGGTGTGCTGCACCTTGGTCATCCCAGCACGGTGGGAGGCTGACGCAGGACACTCCAGTGGGAGCCCGACCTGGGACAGGTGGGGACCTGGGGAGACCCTGAATGAAAAGAGCGGCGAGGCTGGGGGCGCTCGGGCAGACCCTGGGTGCCACAGAACCTCAGAGAGAAGCGCTGGCTTCACTGCTACAGGCTGAACCCACCCCTGCTTGTGCCTGCGGCTGCTGGCCTAAGGCTCAGGCACCGGGGGGGAGGGAGGAGGGAGGCTGGGGTCGGCGTCCGCCTCGGCCACGCTGTGCCCTGACCCCTCCCGCCCCGCTGGGCCGCAGGAAACAGAAGGAGCTGGAGGAGCAGGAGCGCGAGCGCAAGCGCGAGGAGAAGCTGCGCAAGCGGGAGCAGAAGCAGCGGGACCGGGAGCTGCGGCGCAGCCAGAAGAAGCTGGAGAAGCTGCAGGCGGAGGAGCAGAAGAAGCTGCAGGAGAAGATCCAGCTGGAGGAGCGCAAGCTGCTGCTGGCCCAGCGCAACCTGCAGTCCATCCGGCTGCTCGCCGAGCTGCTCAGCAGGGCCAAGGTGCGCGGCGGGCGGCGGGCAGGGGACGGGAGGCGGGCGAGGGAAGGGTGGGCCCCCTTCCCCGCCCCTTTCTCCCTCCTCCTCCGTCTCCTCCTCCCCCATCTCCTCCTCCCCCATCTCCTCCTCCCCCATCTCCTCCTCCCCCATCTCCTCCTCCATGTCCTCCTCCTCCTCCATCTCCTCCATTTCCTCCTCCTCCATCTCCTCCTCCATCTGCTCCTCCTCCATCTCCACCTCCTCCATCTGCTCCTTCTCCATCTCTTCCTCCTCCATCTCCTCCTCCTCCATCTCCTCTTCCATCTCCTCCTCCTCCATCTCCTCCTCCATCTCGTCCTCCTCCATGTCCTCCTCCATGTCCTCCTCCATCTCCTCCTCCATCTCCTCCTCCGTCTCCTCCTCCTCCGTCTCCTCCTTCTGCATGTCCTCCTCCTCCATCTCTTCCTCCTCCATCTCTTCCTCCTCCATCTCCTCCTCCACCTCCTCCATCTCTCCTCCATCTTCTCCTCCTCCATCTCCTCCTGCTCCATCTCCTCCTCCTCCATCTCCACCTCGTCCATCTCCTCCTCCATCTCCTCCTCCTCCATCTACTCCTCCTCCATCTCCACCTCGTCCATCTCCCCCTCCATCTCCTCCTCCTTCATCTCCTCCTCCATCTTCTCCTCCTCCATCTCCTCCTCCTCCATGTCCTCCTCCATGTCCTCCTCCACCTCCTCCATCTCCTCCTCCTCCATCTCCTCCTCCTCCATCTCCTCCTCCTCCATCTCCTCCTCCTCCACCTCTTCCTCCTCCATTTCCTCCTCCATCTCCTCCTCCATCTCCCTCTCCATCTCCTCCTCCTCCATCTCTTCCTCCTCCATCTCTTTCTCCTCCATCTCTTCCTCCTCCATCTTCTCCTCCTCCATCTCCTCCTCCATGTCCTCCTCCATCTCCTCCTCCACCTCCTCCTCCATCTGCTCCTCCATGTCCTCCTCCGTCTCCTCCTCCGTCTCCTACTCCGTCTCCTCCTTCTCCATGTCCTCCTCCTCCATCTCTTCCTCCTCCATCTCCTCCTCCACCTCCTCCATCTCTCCTCCATCTTCTCCTCCTCCATCTGCTCCATCTCCTCCTCCTCCTCCATCTCCTCCTCCTCCATCTCCACCTTGTCCATCTACTCCTCCTCCATCTCCACCTCGTCCATCTCCCCCTCCATCTCCTCCTCCTCCATCTCCTCCTCCATCTTCTCCTCCTCCATCTCCTCCTCCTCCATGTCCTCCTCCATGTCTTCCTCCACCTCCTCCATCTCCTCCTCCTCCATCTCCTCCTCCTCCATCTTCTCCTCCTCCATCTCCTCCTCCTCCACCTCTTCCTCCTCCATCTCCTTCTCCATCTCCTCCTCCATCTCCCTCTCCATCTCCTCCTCCTCCATCTCTTCTTCCTCCATGTCTTTCTCCTCCATCTCTTCCTCCTCCATCTTCTCCTCCTCCATCTCCTCCTCCTCCACCTCTTCCTCCTCCATCTCC